TTTTGGAGGTTCCTCAGCTGCTTTTGGAGGTTCCTCAGCTGCTTTTGGAGGCTCCTTGGCTGCTTTTGGAGGCTCCTCTGCTGCTTTTGGAGGTGGTTCTGGTTCTGGTTCTTTAGGTTTTTCTGGTGGTGGAGGAATCTTACCTCCCACGCTTAAAAGAAGAATATCGTAAAGAGTAATTAGACTAAACTGTCTACCATCATGCTCTCAAAATAATACTTAGAGCAGTCCTCCCTTATTGATGTTGAGTCAAGTTTCATTGAATATCACTGAAATTCTATCAGCAGTAAAGTAAATTATACCCTATAGCATTCTTCAACCTTAGGATTCACTCTTTTAGGATTCAGTGTAACAACTATTTTTTGTGTATGTGGGCAACAGACAAATCACTCCTAGTTTTCCATATCCAAATAATTAAAACACTACATTTGGAAGTTATAAAACAACTACCCTTTGTAAAAATGACACCAAAACACCTTTAAATAATGCAGCTAAATGCGATTTAACAGAATTAACAACAATGAGCATCAGCTTCCTATGGTAGTCAGGGGTTTTTCTTGCATATGCGCATGTATTGCAATTCCATGTGCTCATCATTTGAGGGGTTCTTGCATGTGCTTTGAGTGTGAACTTAACCCTTTAACTCCCACATCAAATTTGTAATTCTTCTTACTGTCAACCATACAATTCTTATGATATTAGTTCAGAGAATTTAGTATTGGATCAACTTATTATCCCCAAATTAATATTTATCTTTATTCTCATCACCTATCTGGTTGATATTGTGTTGATATTGTAGGGAAAAATTCTGTCCCGGTCACTCATGGGAGTTAAAGGGTTTAAGAGTTGTGCTTTGTGTAGGAAAGGAATACAATCTATCATTCCAGTAAAACATACAAAAATACAAGTCTTTTGAAGAAATACCGAGAGCATAAAGGTGCACAATTGATCACTACAACAAACAGGAAGTTTAAACAACTTCTACTTCCGTCTTGGTTGTAAGGTGAAAACTTGCACTTTGCAATGACTCGCAAGTGTAACATGTGTTTTTTTTTTTTTACTCAAACAGCGTCGTATTAATTCCCAAATCCTAGGGAAACTTCAGATTTTTTAAAAAAAACAACATAAAATTGTATGGTTTCGAGAAAGTGAAATGTAGCCAAGGCCTGAGGTATTAGCGTTCGATATTTTGGGGACGTTACGTTTACGAGGAGGTCTAACATACCTGACATCAGGAAAAAGGAAAAATGAAATACACATATTTGAGATATCAACGTATTAAACGTTTCAGTAAATTTCTGTAGCAATCAATAACTTGGGGTCTCTGTTCAAAATTGTCACCTAGGCATTGTACAGTTGCACGTGCCTGTTATCTGACAGTATATTACAATAATACAAAGCGTATAAGTTACGGTACCTTTCCACCCAATCTTTGAAAAACTTCAGCTGTGGAGAATACAGCAGTTCAGGCTTCGTTTTACACAATTCGACAAATTGTTTGAGCAAGCTGAGTTGGGTACTATCAAATTTTGAGGCCATTTTTGCCCCTTATGAAGAAGTAACTTCGTTCAGGTCAGGTTTCAGATTATGTATATTTTGCATTGACAACAATCCTCTGCGCGCTCTCTTTCGAAACCTGGGCCCTATTCGCACAACCTGTAACGGACGAGAGGATCTGAGGGCAGCCAGAGGAAACAGGAATAACTTCTCTAAGTATCCACCTTAGGGGTGGCGAGAATGAGTTTCAGAACGACGCAAAATACGAAAATGAGCTTCAAATTTACCCACTTTTCTTGTATTCCTTTGGATCAACCCATACAGTTCATTTTTTCAAAATCACGTCACTTTAGCCTAAATTTCATTTTCACCTACTTACTATTAATTTTAGCGTGTGACCGAACCAAAACCTGGCTGTGCAAGGGAAGGTGAGTAAGGAAG